AGAAAAAAAAAAAAAAAAAAAAAAAAAAAAAAAAGTGATGAAATGAAACGTTGAACTCTCCGGCCCTAATGCACAACATTATCTGGCAGAAACCAGGCTTGACCCATCATGCATTTAACACATGCTCTTTTTCTGAAAATGGCGACGGCAGCATCACCAGGTAGGTGTGCATTTTAGTGTCAGGGATGGAGAGACGTGAGATAAGACAAAACAACAATTTGAACCAGACACATACTGTACAGAAGCAAACCTAGTGAGAGTGCCGAAGAGCTTTGGTAGAGACAGCTGTGTCCAAACCCCAAGGGCCTCATTTATAAAACTGTGCATAGGACCCATAATAAAAGTTAACGTGCCAGGTTTATGCCAAAAAATAATGAGATTTATAAAACTCTGTGCATGCACACTTCAACACAAATTACCCTTTATAAATAGCAATGTACAGACTTTGTTGAGCTGCTTCTTCCACCCTAACCACTCCCACAATTAACCATAAAACGCTCATAAATATTGATATGCACATTGCTCCTTTGGAAAATGGTGGCAGCATTACCACTGACAGACCTGAAGGTGGATTATTAAATGCTTTTCTGTAGCAATCAGTAGGAGAAAGAATGAGCGAAATAGAAGGATAAAAATTCTGTTCTCATATGAGGAGTTGAATCCAGGCCACCTGGGTGAAAACCAGTAATCCTAACCACTAGACCATATGGGACCATCTACAATCACTGACAGCTCAGTCATATGTTCACTCAAGAGGTTTTATACAATAAATATAAGGAAACAAATTAAAATCATAGTTTGACAAATATTCATGCTATTAGAAGACTGAAATCTACCAGCGCTGTCTCTAGTTCTGCTGTATATAGAATAGTGATGCAAGTGAACCGATACCAGGATATTTTGAGGTAATATCAGAAAGAGGCGAGCCAGATTTTCCTAAACCCGCCACCTTACACATCCTGCCAAACCGATTGTGACCGATGCTGAGCATCATACACCTTGAGCCTATCCTCTGAGCGTTGGGGTATATAACGATGACCTGGCACCAGGCACTCATAAGATAGACAGATGGATAAATAATTTATAATGATTAATAATGAATCTCACATGTCAGTGGTTAAGATTTGGGGTTGCCTGAATCTCTTAGAACAGGTAGGTGTTTATGGAATAATTAGTCTTACAAGCACAAACACAATACGACACAGCTGCCTAAGTGTTTATCACACTGTGGACATGATTACTCATTTGATATGAAACAAATAAACCTGTGAGAAGGATCAACATGAAATCTGGCTTCATTTCACTGCTTCACCATCTGTGTGACCAATTTCCCTTAGACACAAAATGTTTGTACGCATCGGTCACGTTTTCTGTACATGTATCACGTCAAGTTTGTTCTTTTAAATCCTGACCTTTCCATACGCATATTTCAAGTTCCATTTTGTGCTTACACATTGGATATAAATGAGGTCCCAGACTCGTTTTAATAAGACAAGAGTGTGCTGACTCACGAAAACATTCATGACTCAACGCATATACAGACTTAAATAGAGCATCAGATTTGCACTGAGCAACCTCACAGACATCACCCACTCAACTTAACCAAGCTTTAAATGTGACAAAATGATACATGTGACAAAATGCTCAAATCTCAGGTGCCACGTTTGCACACTAGGTATAGAAAAACACAGCTAAACCTGTTGACCAAATAAGAGCTAAAAGAGTTTTTAATCTGTGTGGTATTTTGTGCTGACTCACAAAAGCTTTCATCTGTTTTGTGTCTGACCTTCAGTGATTCACTCCTTTATTAAAGGAGGGTCGCCACAGCAGAGCACTGCCGCATATGCAATTTGGCACAAATGTTTATGCCTTATGCCATTCTGGATGCAACCTTATGGGACAATTTAGAATCACCACTTAACTGCACATCTTTAAACTATGGAAGGAAACTGGAGCACGCAGAGAGACCCCACGCAGCCAGAGGAGGAACATGCAAACTCCACAGAAAAAGGCCACAACTGATATTTGAATCTTCTGGCTGTGAGGTGACAGTGCTAACCACTGCACCAGTATGCACCTGAATTCATCAATAAAAGGGACTGGTATATAACTAAATGCATCTGAAAATGGACCATCAACTGAGTGTTAGCAACTGCCAGAGATACAGTGGGTACGGAAAGTATTCAGACCCCCTTAAATTTTTCACTGTTATATTGCAGCCATATGCTAAAATCATTTAAGTTCATTTTTTTCCTCATTAATGTACACACAGCACCCCATACTGACAGAAAAACAGAATTTGACATTTTTGCAGATTTATTAAAAAAGAAAAACTGAAATATCACATGGTCATAAGTATTCAGACCCTATGCTCAGTATTTAGTAGAAGCAGCCTTTTGAGCTAACACAGCCATGAGTCTTTTTGGGAATGATGCAACAAGTTTTTCACACCTGCATTTGGGGATCCTCTGCCATTCCTCCTTGCAGATCCTCTCCAGTTCTGTCAGGTGGGATGGTAAACGTTGGTGGACAGCCATTTTCAGGTCTCTCCAGAGATGCTCAATTGGGTTTAAGTCAGGGCTCTGGCTGGTCCATTCAAGAACAGTCACGGAGTTGTTGTGAAGCCACTCCGTTATTTTAGCTGTGTGCTTAGGGTCATTGTCTTGTTGGAAGGTGAACCTTCGGCCCAGTCTGAGGTCCTGAGCACTCTGGAGAAGGTTTTCGTCCAGGATACCTCTGTGTATTCATCCTTCCCTCGATTGCAACCAGTCGTCCTGCCCCTGCAGCTGAAAAACACCCCCATAGCATGATGCTGCCACCACCATGCTTCACTGTTGGGACTGTACTGGACAGGTTGATGAGCAGTGCCTGGTTTTCTTCACACATACCGCTTAGAATTAAGGCCAAAAAGTTCTATCTTGATCTCATCAGACCAGAGAATCTTATTTATCACCATCTTGGAGTCCTTCAGGTGTTTTTTAGCAAACTCCATGCAGGCTTTCATGTGTCTTGCACTGAGGAGAGGCTTCCGTCGGGCCACTCTGCCATAAAGCCCCGACTGGTGGAGGGCTACAGTGATGGTTGACTTTCTACAACTTTCCCCCATCTCCCGACTGCATCTCTGGAGCTCAGCCACAGTCATCTTTGGGTTCTTCTGTACCTCTCTCACCAAGGCTCTTCTCCCCCGATAGCTCAGTTTGGCCAGACGGCCAGCCCTAGGAAGGGTTCTGGTCGTCCCAAACGTCTTACATTTAAGGATTATGGAGGCCACTGTGCTCTTAGGAACCTTAAGTGCAGCAGAAATGTTTTTGTAACCTTGGCCAGATCTGTGCCTTGCCACAATTCTGTCTCTGAGCTCTTCAGGCAGTTCCTTTGACCTCATGATTCTCATTTGCTCTGACATGCACTGTGAGCTGTAGGGTCTTATATAGACAGGTGTGTGGCTTTCCTAATCACGTCCAATCAGTATAATCAAACACAGCTGGACTCAAATGAAGGTGTAGAACCATCTCAGGGATGATCAGAAGAAATGGACAGCACCTAAGTTAAATATATGAGTGTCACAGCAAAGGGTCTGAATACTTATGACCATGTGATATTTCAGTTTTTCTTTTTTAATAAATCTGCAAAAATGTCAAAAATTCTGTGTTTTTCTGTCAATATGGGGTGCTGTGTGTACATTAATGAGGAAAAAAATGAACTTAAATGATTTTAGAATATGG